TGATTTGCATGTATAGAAACAGTTGTTATGATTTAATTAGAACTACAGTTCATCTCACCATAGCATGGGAAATTGTTACCATGTGATTCATGTACCTTGCTCAGTCTGTTCCTGTGGTATTGATGGTTGGCTTCATAACCCAGCTCTTCCTTATAATGGTTTGGTATTTTTAAAGCAGACTTAAAGCAGTCCTTCAAACAAACAACAGCTTTAACATTGAGGAGAGCCATCAGACAGCAGTACAACTGGAGGGCTGTCTTAGCCCATACGGCTGGTCCAGGTGGAGATATCTCAGGGAAAGCCTGCTTCATGCAAATCTTACCATTCACTGAAATTGTCTTCTGGGGCTTTGCTTCATGTTGTCCTACCATCTGATATACTGCCAGTGACTATGGTGCTTACTGATTGCCAAAAATAAGAGGAAATGAAACTTCAGAAGAGAGTGCCAAATGGACATAAGCTGGTGTAAAATTTGATTGCTATTGTAAATGTAAAGAAGCAAATTTAGAAATAATTGATATAATTCGGACAAAAACACTATACATCTTACCATCATGGGAAAGACATCATAGCTGTTGTTCCTGTACCTTATGCTGTCCAGTGCTCACTGTTGACAGGCAGCTTTAAAAGGAACTATAAAGTTCTCCCTTTGTATGGTGATCTTTATCCCAGGTTTGGACTGGATGGCCTTTCCAACAAAGGGAAGTACTGTATCAAGTAGGCTCATGGTGTCTAAATTATGGAACTTTACTGGAGTTCAGCCATCTTCCTTGCTGATGCATTTTAGCAACAGGCTATAATTACCTGATTTTAGAAAGTGTTTGTGGCAGAACATAAACAGCTGTAGCAGCTGCTCCTCTGGTCTTAGTTCACAGTACTTTTATTGTTAATGATGCTGCTGATATTGTTGTATTGGCTTTACTGTCATTTGTTTTTATAGTGATGTAGGCTGCCTTTTATTTAATTTACACGGAAAATGAGATATAAAACATTTTAAATGAAATAATTATAGATAAATACATTTTGACCTGAGAAGTGCTAGACCAGCATTCCCCCCACCTCCGTTTTGCACTTCAAGGTAGGCAGCATAAACAGGAGATTTATCAAGCCTGCATAGCCTGCCATATTTGGCTTGGCATAGCTTAACTGACATTGCAGCTTGGTAGGATGTGCTTTGTCAGATCTTATATTTGCTGTGATTCTTTTGTTCAGCAACAGTATTGCTAGGGTTGAGGCCTGGAAACATGACTGGCAGGGAATCTGTACCCATTCAGCCTATTCTGAGGGGGCAGGGCCCAGGTAACAGCTGTGTAATATATTTATTATATACACCTCTTTTTTTCAGAATAGAAATCCTTCCAGGGCAGCCAATAAAACACTGGCATGCATTACTAAAATCACAGTGAAGAGTATTAAATTTTAACAATGCATAAAGCTGAGGGTAGAAGGCCGTGGGCAGAAGAGGGTGGTCCAGCTGGAGCAGAGGATGAGGCAGCTTCTGTCTCCCTTAGGCTCTGTTCCTGGAAATCCTTAGCACAGGGCAATTGGCACTGACCCTGTGGTTGGTGAAGGAAAGCTCAGCTGGAGCAAGCTCTGGGGAGCTCTTGCTGCCCTCCTTCTCCACCTGGGAATCTAAAGATGAAATGGACTTCATTGGTTCCTCAGGCAAGCTAAATCTGAATGAAAGTATAGATACCACCTCTGGCCATTTGTAGAGAAGCAGTGATCAGACCAGCAGGTCTCTCTCCATCAGGGTTAGGCTGTCTGCTCCAGGGATACTAATCCCTGGGTTCTTTCCAGGTGATTTCCTAGCATTGTGAAAAGGCATTGTGCCATCTGCCGTCTTTTCCATCTGAGCCATTTTCATTTTCTGGCAAGGAAACGGTAGAATATTGGTTGAAATGGGGTGGGGGTGTTTACAAAGTACACACAAAATCATCTGTCCCCCTGTAAAATGCTGTGAATGTGTCATGGCAATTACACAATAAAAGTCTCATCTAAAACTACTTTTCATTTTTGTCTCCCCCTCCCCTCCCACTCTTTTTCTTGCACTTAAAACATTAAATAAACATACACATTAGCCCAAAATCCAAGTGAATGAAACAAATCCACTATTTTAAACAAAGGAATCTCTATGCTTATGGAAACCAGTATAATCTTACCTCTCACAAATGGGTAAGGCCTCCTATACAACTACAGCACACATCAGCATAATATTTTTCCCAGAGTTCATTCTTTTTGGCCAAGACCCTTCAAACTGGGGAATATTTAAAATAATCTTTCTCAGAAATGCCATGTTTGCTACTGTTGCCTCAGAATTTGTGTTCTAATGTTTGTTCTTTTATTGTTGCTATGAGTCAGAGCATGGAGCCAAGACACATTTAGTGAGCCTTTGCACCCTTCCTACTGTAAGCGTGACATCTCAACTTTAGAGCTGTTTGGTACAAAATGAGTCACTTCTCAGTCATTTACAGTGAATGAATAGACAATTGTCTCTACCTTCCCAAAAGGATGTGTGCCCATTTCCCTTCCTTATGGTCAACTTGCTGTTTTCCATTTGTCAAAGAATGAAACCTTCCTGTCCAGAATACCTGACATACCAAACAGGCAAAAAAATTGCATGGTAGCTTAATCAATAGGCATCAAAAGGTGTTCAGCTTCTCTGTTTCTATCAGCTTTCTGAGTTTCCATCTCAAGGTCTTACATCTTCACAAAACTGAGTGTCATCTCTACTTGCAATCCTTTATTTACTTACCTGTGAGTAAGCCCCATTGAACTCAGAGCTATTTCTGAGAAGATAAATGGGGGAATGCATTGAGACTGATTTTAGTAAATCCAGGCAGGCATACATTACAATCATGTCCAAATGTCAGTGCTGCCTTTTGTCTTTAATGGGATATAATTCCAGCTAACTTCCACAACAGTAATTTGTGTACCCAGCATCCTGATCATTAAAGTTGGACAAAATATGGATTTAGCTATTTCTCTATAGCAGTGCAATTAGGGTATTTTGGATATTAAACCAGGTCAAGGCAGATTACTGAGGCTTCTTTAGTCCCTTTGAGTCTCTTCCTCCTCATTCTTAAACTCATGTTTCTTTTCTCTAAAATCACATGTTATTGGCAGTTACTGATCCAAGATCTTATTTAATTCCATTTCTTTTGATACATTGTGGCCATTTGAAAATTTCCCAATTATACATCATTGTCTCTGAATCGTCACTTTCATCTTGTATGCTCCTGTAACCATGAGAATGTGTTAGCTCAGAAAAAAGCCATTGAAGCAGCAATGATATGCACATCATGTGTTACTTGGAGACTGTGCTGAGCTCTTTGCTCACTTCATAGTAGTGGTTATGAGCTAACAAAGGACAAAGCTTGTCCTAAGGCACAGTTTATCCTGCTCTCTTTTAAAGGGCCATCAATGTTTCAGACTTTCTGATATTCCTATGGAAGTGCTTGTGCAACTTATTTCATGAAAAGAATATACATTTGCTAATTTAAGCTCCCTAAACTTGAGAACTTACTGCTGTGATTCTCTTGAACTGTGTAGTAGCCTAATTGTTTGTTGACAATCTGATGAGCTTATCTCATTCATACCCAACCCAGTAAGTAGCAGCTTTGTACTGGACTAATTTGTTGCTGGAAATTGTGGGAGAGAGGAAATCCCTTTAACACAATTCTTTCTTGCGGAAAATGAGGTTATGATATAGCACAAAGTACAAACAAGGTCCCTATCCTCCTCATCCATGGAAATCCTGGAAGAGTGGCTGAGGAAGAAAAGAGCAAGGCACATTGGGAGGAAGATAAATTAGATATAGGAGGCTTTCTTTGAGGCAACAAGGAATCTTTGCACTGCCTCACCATGTGCATTTTTGAAGAGCTGTATGTTACAGCAAGGAAATGTGCACTTCTTCAAACAAAAACCAGTTCCAGCTCTGGCACCACAATTACTGGTTTCAGTTTTTGAAGTTCTTGAAGCAGATCAATAATACCAAAATAAGGCATGAGTGAGGGATTTGTTCTTACAACTTTTTCTTGCGGCATGGTAGATCCTGTATTGCTGACTTGTAACTCTCAAGCTGCTATTTGTGAAGGCAGTTACATGGTGGCCTTAGCTCAACACAGACAACATCTTGAGGGCTGATAATTCTGGCTAAAAAGATGGCTTACACATCTTTCTGGTGCACAGGAATCTGTTTAAACCATTAAATTGTATGGAACCATGTTCCATATGTGCCAGCAGCTAATGTGCCATGTCATGGTGAAAATCGATCCTGGGAAGCACTCACTGGGAATACAAAACAAAACATACAACTACTATATGAAAAACCTTAACAGAAATCCAGTCAATTCTCATGTTGTATTTATTTATTTTATTTTTATTTTATTTAAAACATTTCTATGCCGCCCCATTCGCTGAAGCCTCGTGGCGGCTCACAACATAAAATTAAAATGTAAAACATTCTAATATACAATAAATTAACAATATAAAATAAGTTGTATATTATACACAATGGAATTGTGCTGTTAGTTTTTTGTCGCCTATGTTCATTGTTTAAAATTGGTAGAAATCCCATGCTCTTGTAGGGTTGGAATTTACTTCCAAACTGAAAAGTCAAGCAGGAGTCAGTGGCCTCAAGCATATATGTCCTGCCACAAGGAGCTTACAATTTTAATTTCAACCAAAGAGTATCAACAAAGGAGAAGGGAAACAGAGTGGCATGGCGTATACAGATTGATGTATGCAAATGCAGGTACATATGTCTAAACTTACATTGCAGTCTTGTGTGTTCCTACTTCAAGGTAAACATTTGTGATCATGTTGCAGGTTTTAGTAGGAACTGATGACAAGCATTAAACAAAAGACTGTAGAAGAGCAAATATAGCAATGGTAATAGTGTTGCATAGCATATTATAATTTCAGATGTATTGGTACAAAAGTTCTTACTACAGTAGAACTTCTACTTCCCTACTCTCTCTTTTTCTTTTTAATTAAAGGAAAACCACTGCAGAAGGATAAAAATCCTAGGGGACTGTTACTACTGTGTATCAGGACTGACGCAGCCCAAAACAGATCATGCCCACTGCTGCGTCGAAATGGGATTGGATATGATTGACACCATCACGTAAGTTTTTCACATGCTTACATGCCTCATAGGAAGCATCATCACAGCTTCTCATGCAATGGCCATGCAATCAACCGTTCACTGTCACTGTACTCTTCTGAACATTTTTTCTCAAACACTGAGAACTTTAGCCTTTGTAGTCTTCCTTAACTGCAAAAACTGCAGGAAAAGTGTTCAAATACCTGGAAGGCTAGCATATATGGCTTGCATACAGTGTTCAGGTTTCATAGGCCTGTCTATCATTTCCTCACGAGTAGGTGTTCACTGAGTAAATAGGAAAGCTTTAACTGTTTATTGCATAATGAAATAGTTATCCCCCAATGTGAAAACAGTGGGGTATGCAACAGGCAACACTGGAGATATAAAAATGGGTAATTGGTGAATGCATGAGGGTTGCATTCAAGGTTTTTTGGTGGAGCAGGAGAAATTTGGGGAGGCTTGCAAGAGCTTTTTTCTCTGTTTATTGCCCATGTCCACAGCCCCTGCTATAGCCTCCTGTACTGGCTTTAGAATGAATGTCTCTTTACCTAATTTAGAAGTATTCACTCTACAGACAAAGCTAATTTGTGGATAAATAAGGAATACCTAAGGGATAATAAAGTATACCTAAGGGATAAATGTACTAAGAAGTCCTCTATAAGAAACCTTTATATTAGGAGAATTTCACTTGTAAGCAATAACATTACTTGTTCATTGTAGCATGAAGAAGAAGAGAAAATTGGTATGAATCTGAAACCCTAGAAATTGGGTGCTCCTAAAAATAGTGTTCATTTAAATATTATTTATTTATTTTAAACTTTTCTGTACCGTCTGCTATCAAGGCCTCGGGACATAAGGCAGCAACCTTATGGAGCATAATTATTGAGGGCTATTGTGAAAATTCCATGTCCAGTCAGTGTCAGTAGGATAGTGAAAGTAAATAGGGGCAATACCTTTCCCTGGCATACATTCTGGAAATGAAAAAGGTAAGGACCTTAACCAATGTCATGAAACAATACGAAAATACAGTACTACCTTTTCAGACAATCAACTTCAGTAAACCCCTGCACAGCAAAAGCAAACAGGGAGATTTATGCCAGAAGAAAATAAGAGTAAATGAGTGTCAGGTAGAAGATAAACAAGCAAGTGATATAGTTTGACTTCCTGTCATTGGGTTGACTGTATGCATGCTGTATGCTGCCTTTGAAAAGAACTGTACTTCAGCATAATCTGAGCAGAAGAAACGAGAACTATCTAGTGCAATGTTGAATTACTCCACTGGAATATTATCTGGCTGCATAGTTGCCTGTCAGCTTGAAGTGAAAGGAACTCTGTAAAGGTACCCATTTACAGAAAAGTAATTTCAAGAAACTCCAGTGTGTGTGTTCTGGAGCAGAAATGCTCTCTGAATACTCTTTCTGCCCCACGTTGAATTACTTGCCAAAACCCAAGTGAGATACAATGAATTGAAGGAGTGGCATTCTTCAAAACCAGGGCATTCAGTTTCCAAATATTATATGCAGAACTTTCTTATAACAGATTTTGATGTCTGCGGAATGTGTCCATGTTTATAGCTATAACTGTCTTTTCTGTTGTGTTTAAGGGATGAAAGGAGAATCTGAGTTAGAATATTCTAGCAATTTAAAAACCAGAAGTGAGGTATTTCATGCAATGTTATGCCATATCATAACTCATAATTAGAGTTGGGACAAACTGTTTCAGAATCCATCCCTCCCTTGTGCTCAGCCCAGTCCTACAAATCAAGTCAAGCCAAGAGGAAGTCCACAAATACTTGTGGACCCCCAGCTGCACAACTAGCATCTTTCCCCATCAGGAGTGGCCACAGGATGTGGAAGAAGGGGCACTGTGAATGGGCACACTGGGCACCATTCCCAGCAACCAACTTTCTTCATTGTGGTCTCTGTGCATCACTCATATGGGTGCTGCACCTGTGCAGTGCCTGTATTTGAGAAGATTCTCTCAGCATTAAGAGTTTTGGCCGGGACTCCACCTCCCCTCCCCCCATATAAATAGGTGGAGTTTCCACCCCTTTGCCAGTCTGCTGTACCTCGGGTCTCTCTTATTCCTTTATTCTCTCACAAATATCCTTTGAATTATTCTTCACAAATCTGTTCTCCAAGGGTACCTTTTCTCTCACTCCTAGTTAAATTCCCTTGTTATCTCCTCCTTTCATGCTTCTTCAATTCAAATTCTTTCCCCTTTTCCTTCCCCTTTTCCTTCCCCTTTCCTCCTCTCTAATTTCTCTCACAAAAATTATATAAACCACCCCCCTGTCTATCTTTTCCAATAACTTACCCTTTCTTTGTTCTTCCTCTTTCTTGATGGTGCAGTGTTCTGCTTTTGGAAAGTGTGCTCAGTGCAGAGCAAAAATCCCATCTATGGACAGCCATTCGCTCTGCTTATTCTGTCTTGGCATGGGGCATTGAGTGGATAAGTGTGTCCACTGCCAAGCTTTCACAAAGCATGCTCAAAAGAACCATGAAAGTCTCCTCAAAAAGGAGCTCTGGGACAGGACTCTAGTGGCTATGAAGGAGGTTGCCTCTGACAAATCAACTGATTCCTCTGTTTCCAATAGAAGCACTTCTGCATGCGCACCACAGCCGCTCAATTGACCTCAAAGAGCTCTGAGGTTATGCCAAAACATTCAGAGTTGTCTCATTCTCCTAAGAAACCAAAGGAGAAAAGAAAGCACCTTGAAACAAAAGAACCCAGGAAAGAGAAGCACTCTGGTAAAGACAAGCCGGAGAAAAAGCAGAAGAGACACTCTCATACCACACCGAGGGAATCAGCCTACTGGCTGGAGATGCAATCAGCTGTGCCATTGGTAACGACAGAGGCTCCAATCCAACTGCAGTTAGTACAGTCAACACCAAGACCATCCCCACGTTTATGGTCCAAACCATTGTAGAGACCATCTCCACTTTTAAGGTCTATTCCCTCAGAATCTCACAGACTGGAACCAACTCTGGTGACATCAATTTCGGAGGGTGAAATTCATGGTTCTCCAGTACACTCACCACCTCCATCTGAGTCACTGGTATACATGATACAAGATCCTTCAGAGGAAGTTCAGTGACCTCCTACACCACATCTGTACTGATTGCCTTCTGCTGCAGCTTCTCTGGGTTTGACACAGTGCTCTGTGCACACATTTGAGCCTGAGGTTCCTTGGTATGGAAGGAATCCATACTTCATGCCCCCTCCATACCCATATTGTGGATCTGGATATTCATGGGATTGTATTCTGCCATATGGCTTTCCATATCCACCATCCTGTCCTCAGTGCCAGCCTCAACAGCACCATGATCTACCATCCACATCTGCTCAAGCCATCGCTACTGATGTCCAATTTGGACTCTGACACTGAGGAAGTAGCTTCCACATCATTGGAAAACATGGTTTCGGCACAAGGTCCCAGTTCGCCTGAAGAGGGCATGGGAAAGTTCTCCACACAGATAATTAATATGGCTACATATTTAGGGATGGATGGCCAACAGAACGCCAAGCCTGAGTGAGATGAAGTCTATGATGTTATCCATATGGAGGATGTGGTCCCAGTAACTCTACTGTTTATACCCACCTTGCGCCATGCGATGATGAAACAATAGGAACTGCCAGATCAGCCACATACAACAACTAGATGGAGGGGATGCAGTGGATTTGATTTACCTGGATTTCAGCAAGGCCTTTGACAAAGTGCCCCATGATACCCTGGTTGAGAAACTGAGGAATGTTGGGATAGACAAATGCACTGTCCGATGGATTAGGGCATGGTTGACTGACCAAAAGCCAGAGGGTAACCATTAGTGAGGAATCATCAGGATGGTGGCCAGTAACAAGCGGGGTCCTCCAGGGCTCTGTCCTGGGGCCGATCCTGTTTAATCTTTGGACATGGAAGAAGGGCTGAACAGTCTGCTGATCAAATTTGCAGACGATGCTAAAACCAGGGCAGTGGCCACAACTGAGGAGCAGGTACTCCAGATCCAAAAGGATCTGGACAGACTATGGAAGTGGGCAGGAGACAACAGGATGGCGTTCAATGTGGATAAGTGCAAAGTCATGCTCTTGGGGCATAGGAATGGGTGTCATAAGTACAGGTTAGGGGACAAGTGGCTGGAGAGCAGCGCTTGTGAAAGGGACCTCGGGGTACTGGTTGACTGCAGGCTAAACATGAGTCAGCAGTGGGATGTGGTGGTCAAGAAGGGTGAACACCACCCTTGGTTGCATAGCCAGAAGTGTGGCTTCTAGATCAAGAGAGGTATTACTACCACTCTATACAACTCTGGTGCACCCGCAACTGGGGTATTGTGCTCAGTTTTGGGCCCCTCATTACAGGAAGGATGTAGCCAGGTTAGAGTCAGTGCAGCATAGGGCCACAAGGTTGGTGGCCAGTTTGCAGGGAAAGCTGTATGAGGCGAGCCTGGGGGAACTGGGTCTCTTCACCCTGGAGAAGAGAAGACTCAAAAGGGATTTGTTGGCAACATACAGGTATGTGGGGGTGGTGTCACACAGAGGTGGGTAGAGACCTGTTCTCCCCTGCAGAGGAGGGCAGGACATGCTCCAACAGAGCGAAGCTCAGGGAACCAAGGTTCAGTTTGGATGCCAGGAAGGTCTTCCTGACAGTTAGGACCCTGAGGGTATGGAATGGGCTTCCATGGGAGGTGGTTGAGACCCCATTGGTGAGGGTGTTCAAGGATAGGATAGGTTGAAACTTCCAGTATGGCGTCGAGACGAGACAGACGTGATTAATGAGGCTTCGTTATCACGCTGGTAAATGTCCGGTGGTGGGCCGGGAGCCCAGTCTAAGCCCTGTCGGGGCTAAAGATAAAGTGCTTGGGAAATCTCCTAGATGGTGTGGGGCAGCAACCCCACATCTACTGGGAGAAAATCAGGCATTTTTCATCCAGGCAACACAGAAGGGAAAATCAGCCCTCTGCAAGTCTTCGTCATACCGCCTTTTTAGATTAGGAATTAAGCCAAGAAAAAAATAGTTGGATTTA